GGGCTTGTGGGGCTTCCTAGAGACGCCAGCTCCGTCAGAGCTCTGCACCTCCGTGCGGCCACACCAACGGAGCCTAATCCATCCTCCCCCAGGTTCGGTTTTGGACAGTGTTAGTCACTGTCAGTATAAGGGATTGCAAACACAATGTTTAATGTGGAAGGGTGTCTGTGAGTTGTGCGCTAATTTTTAACAGTATTTATAAGGCGAGGTCCTAAAATCAAATAAAACCTTGGACCTTAGACCTTGCTAAAGGATGGTAGTCATACACTAAACCAGTAAATCAACACATTATTTTCTATTAGTATTCACAGCATATAGAGTTTATATAATTACAGGAAAGATACCGTCGTCCCATCATATTCCATGACCACCTCTTTTTAAAATGACCTCACATTCGCATGCTATCTTGGGTGAAGAGCAGAGACAGCTGAAAACGAAACTCGCAGCGATACTTTTTTCATACCCATTCACTGCTGTCAATAGAGAACCTGTCATTGGATTCAGCAGGCGCTGGCTTCTTGTTATTACGCTTCAGTGCAGGGGACGAGTGCCAGGGCATTTTTCTTATTTGTTAAGTGTCGAAGATTTCTGTCAGAAATAAAACCAGGAGCTTCATGCTTTGGTAGTTCTTTATATAAATCCATCACATCTTTTATCTTTTTTCAGTAAATCACAAAACCGTTCTCTACCGGTAGGACAGTAATCATGAATGGGCCATAGAAAATTGAGTCATTGCACTGCAGGAAATAATTTAGTTGTTTATGATACTCTTTTTTAACTTTACGCTATTATTTTTCAGCATTATCAGATTAACTGTGGAGAAAGGTAGTTAAGTATGAATTACATTATTTCTGATCTAAACAGTTCCTGTACCTTCCCAAACATAATTGAAACAATATGTAAGAGCAAATTTGATGGTAACAGTATTAATTTTATAGATAACACAGTTTGATCTTCTATTGGGGGAAATTTCACTTTAAAAAGGACTTTTCAGAATGAATATCCTAATTTTCTCTGTACTTTTGATTTCAGTAAAGGTCAAGGTAGTGTCTTTAGAATTTGAAAACTCTTTTTATTAAAGACTTGTGTGGACATGAAGTCTGGTCTATTAAAGAAGAAATTAAACACTGGTAGGAAATATCATGAAGCAGAGTTAACACATTAAAGGGTCATGAACTGTGTTTAATCTGCGAATGAGCTCATAATGGGACAAAGTCAGGTTTATGCAAACTTGGAAAACATCAGAGGTTTCACTCAATTTAAAGAAGTGCCAATAACAGTGATCATTTCCTGAATTTAGCATTCTAATCACTAAAAACAATGCAGTATCCCAAGCATATAGTGCAATTATTGGGAGTGTATCTGTAAAACACACATATGTCACACACAGACAAGAAATCATCTGAGTTCGAGAAATCTGCTTGGAACAGACTGTCCAGGAGATTTGCTGCATGACCACGGTGTAGTGTCATCCTACAGATTCTATTACACACTGGAGTATTTGGGATGACTATCGTAAAGCAGAATACCTGTATTTTTTCTCATAAGGTCAATCATGCTAACAACTCTCCAGGATTGGTCTTTTTCCCCTGTATTCTGAGAGTCTGAGTCACAATTTAGAAAAAGGGAGGAGAAAAACATGAAAATTTTGGAGGTGAAGCGAAAAATATCTGGAACGTGTGAAATCTAAAAAAGCTAGAATTGTTTTCTCCCTTTCCTTTAAGAGGGACAAATAATAAAATATACCCAGATTTACCTTAGTTATGCAATAATTACTCATGTTATTGTGGAGGGACATGATACCCTAGTTAATGTCCCCACTGTGTAACTTTTTCTCTCTCTTTAGAAGAAAAATTTTGGTTACCTTTGTTTGCCTGATACATGGAAAAACCACCTATGCTGTTCAAGTATGTCAGCTGCTGGTGACAAATGGTGAAACACTAATACCCAGTCTTGCTGATTTGGTTAAATGCAGTTATCAGCTTCACTTTGCTCACGCTGCTCCGGTGGAGTGCCACCCACACACAGCCAGGCAGCGATGTTCTCTCACCGAGACAGATACGCTCGTCTAGAGCGTGCCAGCTTCTTCCCCTGCTCTTCTCATCACCAAAAAACTACCAAGACAAAAACTGGGGATATAAATACTTCTACTATGTTAGACACCGAGGAGGATGGATGTCATTAAAAATGTGCCGTCTCTTCCAGATGTTAAAGATACTCCGAGATGTAGTTAAGGGTTCAAAATTTTAACTGATGTAGCTTTAAATGCACTAAATCACAGTAAGCACTGTTTCTCACAGCAATACTGAATGAGTAAAAAGAGCTGTTTTCTTGTCTGAAAGTGGTTTGCTCCCTACATGACATCACCATCCTCAGTGTCTGACATAAGCACTGGCGTGGCAGCCACCCGCAGTCCCGGGCAGGATGTCCAGCAGGAGCCCTCGCTGCAGGAAACGAGCTCCAGGAGCAGTAACCTTTATTTAATGGAGCATACGTATTCGAGCAAGGTGAAGGTTAGAGATATGGACGACTGTAAACAGGTCTCTCTAGATTGGTGTGATTTCAGTGTTTGCCTGGAGCTACACTGGCCAGTTTAAAAAAAAACCAAAACCAAATGACGTGGATATTGCTGCTATGACTGCGGCCGGCTGCATACGTATGAATTGGCTAGCTGAGCGGCACCATTTCAATTGCCGTGTTGCACACGCAAAGCAAAATGAGGAAGAAGTGAGTCAGGGTCTAGTTTTCACTTTTTTCCTTGTTTCCAAGGACCAGCTGAACCACACCCAAGCAATTCTGAATCTCATTTATTGTGCAAGTCTCGATACTCCTCATCATTAAAAAGAAAAATTATCATTCTGCACTATGTGTAATGAACAGTAACAGACAACATCTAGAAAAAACTGGAGTAACAAAGAGATGTGTAACAATTTGCAATTAGAACTTTTCCTTACATGTATCTAACCTGTCTTCTTGCTTCATGATGTACATAATTAAATTACCACAGATTGATTCCACCTAAAACATGCTATTTTTGAAGAAATCAGGCAATTAGTTGCCATGGCAACCCAATTAAGGCAGTTTTATACCCCTTATCTTAATTGCCGTATTAATTGAGAAGAGAAAATAAATTGAATACTCATCCATTTCTTGCCATTTTAAATTTCAGTAAAATATGAATTGCACACAAAATATTGTTTTAATTTGTCATCACGGACTCATGATTAGAAAAAGAAATTAGAATGCTGAAAACAGTATTTAAGACGGATGGCATATGTCAGTAGCAATTTGATATGCTGAAAGAGCTGTGCTCTTTTGAAATGTAATTACTCAAAAATAGGATCTGCATATATTATTTGAGTGAACGAATGAAGGATTGTAACTTTTAAAGACTATTTTACAAATTTTGAAAAATATCTAGATGCCAATACATACAGAAAATGCATAGGAAATTTCAGCTCATGGGAAATTTGGGACCTCTTTTATACCAAATGTCAGCATATGGCATTTATGAGACCAGTTTTCAAATATGTCAAATTCTGAGCAGCACACCCGGATTTTGGTATATCCCACTCTACTGGTGCCATTTACTTTGGCTGAACCATTAACAGACTTCAGCTTGAACACAAAATGTAATGGAATGCGCCTGTCTGAATGGGATTTATGCCTGTAGTAAGGACACCCGCTGCCAAATCACCTAGTACACACGCATTTTCTGATTAGAAAAACAGCATATGGGGGGGGAACCAAGAGGGAGGAGACAGAAATTTGTGTTTAGATTTTCAGAGCAGTATAATTAGAAAGCATGAAGCATTATTTCTCACAGTCCACATATGAAGTATAGTAATTTAAAACCAGAACATGTTACTTGGCCTAACCACTTACTGCAGAGTCTGGCTGCATAGCTCCCTCCAAACAATTTGGGAACTTCTACAACGCTCTTGTCGTCCTTTAGTCTCCTCCTTTCTTGCTGTATTCTCCTTAGGCTAATACGAAGCTCGGAAAATAGAGGAATTGGTGAAAAATCCATATCCAAGGAGAGATCCTAGGCAGTCCTACATTTTACAGTTAGTTTACATGGGAGTAAAATGAAGGAAATTCTGTAGGCATCACTGCAGTTCCAAATTGACCTCTGTATGACTGTGATTCAAATGTAGTTTATAGAAGTTGTAAGAGATAAGGCCTTATTCGTGATGGTTCAGAGGAAAGGTAATTGTGCCAGAAATTAGCAAACCCACAGTTTCAAAGGCTTTTTTTCCTGCTCAAATATGAAGAAAAATTGTTCTTACTGTAATTGCTCACTCATTTTGTATCTGTGTAACTTTGTTAGCCAGCAAAAAAGTAGAAGAGGGTGAAAAAGTTGGAATTGAGCTTTCTGAGTTACATAAGTGATAGTGCAAGTGGATTAAAAACTGCTGCTAAATGGTAAACCATAAATATTCTAGTAAAATTTAGAATAAATTAATTTCCCCTCTGTCAGCTTGAGAGGCAATCTATATAGCAATGGATGCCCTATTGCTTGCTCTAGGAATTAAATGGCCTTGTAATTTCTGCATCATGGCGTAGAAGGGCATAGATAATATGTATTAATTTGATGGTGCTGGAAGCTTAATTTAATAACAAGAAATGAGTACAGAAGTCTTTTTACCATTCATAATGAGCATGTGAAAAGGGACAGTTCATGCTCCATTCTTCCTAAAATCTGTTCTGGCTTCCAGCAATAATGTGGGTTAGATCTGCGTGGTAGCTGGATTCTCTGGAATGGTTGATTTTCCTTCTTTGGAAGTCTGATAAATATTGCTAGAATCCAAGGTCTCTGATGTTCTTAGAAAAAAAGTGTAATAGTTCAAATTAAATTCCTTTTTTTGTATTTGTTTCCGATTAGATATTGTTATGCAAAGGGATTTAAATAAATATTCCTTTGCTGTAATGACCAAGATACAAACCATTAAAGTTCTAAATAGGTAAGATTTCCCACGTTTAGCTTTTGATACCATTAGGTGAACTTTCTAAATATAAGTGAAAACATGAAGTCTCATTGTCTCCCAGTCTTAACACTCTTTGATTTGTGCCTGGCATTTTTCTTGTCAGTTGATTATCAATGCTTTGTTCCTTAGCTGTGCCACTAAACAAAGCATATTATTTACAAGTAAACTGACTTTCATGTGATTTATTCAAAGCCCATTTTCACATAGCATGTGGAAATGTACTTTTTTGTGCTTGATAATCCTTGTTCTCCCTTGTGCACCTTGTTATATTTTAGATCACGTCAAGTTTGGTGTCAAACTGAAAAAAAGAATCAAACTAGAAGGAAAAATATTTCTTGAAGACTTTCCTGTTGGATTTCACAAATTAAATGAAATTTTATTTACCTGAACAAATATTCTTCTTATACCCAATTTGTTTAGTTTATAATATGCTTTAAATCTTAAAATAAAAATATTGTAAATACCCAATTCTAAAAGAAAAAAAAAATACACCTCAGTTATTCCAAAGAGTCAGAAAGGTCAAGGTAGGATGGACAACATCAGTCTAATTCTTTGATTTTGGATGGTCTGTTGACCAAAGAATATGATTTTATCTTTTAAGCAGCAATGTTTAAGCAATTGTTTTACTTGGATATGTTCTTAAAGAACCTTTCCACTGCTTTAAGGAATATGCATCTTTATTTTCAAGGACAATCTAAACTCACCATAATCTCAAATACCCAAATCTGTTTGTTTTCGAAGTTCTGAAGATGTTTTTGAGTGCTTGGAAAATGTAATCGGGGTCATTTAGGCTAATCTTGAGATTTGCTGCAGATTGGAAAGGGAAAGGTGGACGAAAAGGATTAAATCTTCATGACTTTTTTTTCTCTTTGAAATGCATTTAAACAACTCTTCCATCTTGAAAATGTTCTACCGGTTTACAACATGTTTCTGACCAGTTTCTGTAAGTACACATGGGCAATTTAGTGTGGATGGATGGCTACTTTTAACTACCCTCATGCTCAGCTGTACTCCTAGAATTTGTTGTGATTCCAACAGTGAAGTGCCTAAATTGTTTCTTCCAGTGTTGCTGGTGTTGACAGAGCTCAGTTAGTGGAGAAAAACACTACCGAATGTGAAAATAGCAGGTTGACATGGCCCAGGCACCAGTGTAGCTAGTGTTGCGTTCCCCAAGGCTTCCTTAGCATTAAGTGAAAAAAACATATGAACTCAAAATGCCCCATGAAAGTCACACTTCGAGTTAAAACATATAAAACCAACTTTCATGTTAATGATTTGATACATTTAGCATCTGCCTTGACTATTTTAAAGCTTCCGTAGATATGCCTGCACAAGATATGATGAGACATTGAAACATGACTGTGGACTTATGCAGTGTGGATCAGTCTTTTATGATGCTAACAGTAGGAAGACAAGACAGAAGTGGACAGAAGAAGGAGGATGAGATGTCATCCAAAGGGACCTGGACAAGCTGGAGAGGTGGGCCTGTGTGAACCTCATGAGGTTCAACAAGGCCAAGTGCAAGGTCCTGCACCTGGGATGGGGCAACCCCCAGTATCAGTACAGGCTGGGGGATGAATGGATTGGGAGAAGGATTTGGGGGTACTGGTGGGTGAAAAGCTGGACATGAGCCGGCAATGTGCGCTTGCAGCCCAGAAGGCCAACAGTATCCTGGGCTGAATCACCAGCAGCGTGGCCAGCAGGTCGAGGGAGGTGATTCTGCCCCTCTGCTCTGCTCTGGTGAGACCTCACCTGGAGCCCTGCGTCCAGCTCTGGGGCCATAAGCACAAGAAGGACACGGACCCGTTGGAGCGGGTCCAGAGGATGCCACAAAAATGATCCGAGGGCTGGAACACCCCTCCTATGAGGCCAGGCTGAGGGAGTTGGGGTTGTTCAGCCTGGAGAAGAGAAGGCTGCAGGGAGACCTTAGTGCAGCCTTCCAGTACTTAAAGGGGGCCTACAGGAAAGATGGGGAGAATCTTTTTAGCAAGGCCTGTTGTGACAGGACAAGGAATAATGGATTTAAACTAAAGAAGAATAGATTTAGACTAGACATAAGAAAGAAATGTTTTACACTGAGGGTGGTGAAGCACTGGCACAGGTTGCCCAGAGAGGTGGCGGAGGCCCCATCCCTGGCAACATCCCAGGCCAGGTTGGACGGGGCTCTGAGCACCCTGATGTGGTTAAAGCTGTCCCTGCTTGCTGCAGGGGGGTTGGGCTGGGTGGCCTCTAAAGGTCCCTTCCAACCCAAAGCATTCTAGGATGCTATGAAGTGCAGATGTGTTTGCATAGTGCGAAGAAATAGAATGCTGTGTAGACAACCCTCAGTCACACTATGAGGTTTTTTTTTGGATACCCTCAAAAAATTAAGTCCTCAACTTTCACTGACTTTTTTGGAGCGTTTGGCTGCTTGTTGTGCCAGACATATCAGAAAATCTCACCTGCTGTCTAGCAATTCCTAACTCTGTATTTCTGCTGTCATTTTGAATAAACGAAAGCTGTTGATATTTGAATGTACATAGATGAGGAACATCTTAATTCAGTTTCAAAGCAGTCCAGATACTGTCTTTAATTTCACGGAGCACAGCTCAGCCATATTAGAAATCTGTACACAACAGCATCACATTTCTGTAGAAAAACTAGAAAGTGGAACGTGAAATGGCTCTTCATGTCCATAAAAATGTTATGCTCAGATTAAATGCAACATCAGCCATTCAACCATATGATTGCTTGTTAGACATGCCATTTTATGCAAGTCTTGATACTTAAGAGAAATGTCATCTTAGTCCATGGCCATCATTGTGCGTAATTGCTATCTTTTAAGAAACTAACTACCTGATTGGCAGTCTCATTTGAGTAGTTAGATGTCTAAATGCCATCATAGTTGCTACAGGAACTTTTTGGACCAAAACTGAATGCCAGTTTTCAAACTTCTTGGTTGCGTGTTTCTACAGAGGGCTTGTAATTTAAGACTTTACACTAATAATTCTAATATGATTCTGCATGGCTTTTCATTAAAATTCAAGTACACAGAAGTATATGAAGTATCTTCTTTTTATAATATTCCTTTTGAAACTTTTTTAAAAATAAAAGTAGCAACACCGTCACTTACGCCGATAGCACTAAAATCCAATTTAACATCTACATCTTCTGGTAACAGTACCTTGCATTACAGATTCTAGTTCCCAGACAATAGACCTCATCATATTCTATGGCACTCTCTTAACTCATGAAATAGAATTACTTTTGTTAGTCTATTTTTCACTTGTTGCATCTTACAACGGCAATAGCTATTGCCTAACTGAAGACTGCTGTTAGAAGCTTTGTATGCAGTCTAATGCCAGGATACGAAGCCATTACCAGTCCTGATCCAATCCAGATAAGTGTATCACACATTTCCAATTGCAGCATGTTCTAAGATGAATCTGTACTTTTTTACTGTTGCTGATCAAATTTGCAGTCCCACAGACCTTAACTAACTTGAAAGATCTTACTTACATTTCGGCCTCGTTGAAGATAACTTGTCAAGGTTCTCAGTCTTGGCATAGATTATCAGGATTCAATACCAAGCTTTCACTTTCTTTCAGTATGAAATTAGGCATCTTTCAGTCTCCGGTTTAGTAGCTTTTACACACGTGAGTAATGCTGTCCCATTGATATGTTTGCCATAGTATATTCATAGCCATGCCACTTGTGGGAGCCTTAGCAGGAATTTGAAATTATCTCCAAAGGCACCTAAAAGTTTAAAGTGTACAGCCTCAGGAGGAATGGCCAATTCAGTTCAGTGACAAAAATGGGAGCTGAGCTCTTTTGAAAAGCTGCTCCCAAGGGTTGCTGGACAGAGCCCTTTATGTCTTGGTTTACGTATTAACTCTGCTTTCAGCTGCAAGGTTTTACAGTACAAATTAAGAAAAGTTCTATTTCAGAATTAAAACATGGTACAGAAATCTTTCATTTCAAAACCAAAGCTGTCTGGAGATCATGGGATTTTTTGATTATTTCAAAGGCATAACACTGTCAAATTTGTAAAAGTCATATATTCCCAATGGATATGTTGTGACCATTTTTCCTTGATTCATTTTTTGTTGTATTTTTTATGACATGCGTGTTAACAAGCTTCAGCTTATGACCTTGACATTTGCTTATTTTTCTTTTGGAGGTCTTCATAAATCACCAGAAGATTTTGTCTAAATCATTATAAATAAACCAACCGGAGAATAATCATTGAAATGGACAGAAGCAATTTCCTTTCTCTCTATTTGTGCGTAATAGTTGACTGGCCCATAAGCCATACAAAGATAGTGGAACATTAGCATGGCAGGGAAAATGCAGCCATATCTGCGTTTGACAAAATAACAGTACATTCATAATGCTGTTGGCTTCTTAATTTCAAAAGGCAGATTTTAATATTACTGACTTCAGAGAAAGATAAGAAGGGCAGTGCATAAGACATTATCAGTCCAGTGTGGAAATAATGCATTCAAAATTAAAGACAGCAGTTTAATTAAGTGCATGAAAGGCTGGCTTTTATGATCATATTTCAAATACTCGAATGTCTTTTCATCCATTCTGCCGTATGACTTTACTTAATAATATATCAAGAACAAAAAATGTATTGGAGTCTTTCTGCAAATTCAATTAGTCCAATAAAAAGTGAAAAATAATTTCCTTTTCATTAAAAAGAACTCAACCCTAACCTTTCTGATGACAAAGTGCAAGATGAGGGGGGGGAGAAAGCTAAAGAACTATGAAAATTGTGTCTTTGTTATGCATTTATGTGTGCATGAAACAGATGAAGTGTCACCATTAGTAACATTTGTTATTGAAAGGACTAATTGCATTCTGCTACAGTTAGTAGTTTATCAGATCCAGACCACAGGGTATTTACTTCTCCCTTAGGATGCACTCACAGTGCAGCAATAATTCCATAGTTTATTGGGCTGCTATAGGCAGGGTAATTATGCTAAATTGTACCTCTCTCAGTGCTAAACTTAAAACTACCATGACACATTGCACTAGTGCTTTACAGGTTAAGTGCAACCTCTTGAATCCTTTCTACTTGCTAAAGGTTTATAGCTAAGGGAAGTGCAAAGATCATAGATCTTGTGTACTAAACCAGAAAAATGAGTAACACATACAACCCAGAAATGCAGCATTTCAAATGAGAAATTATTAAGTACAGTATACAATGAAGGAAGTAAAGTGCATTTAGAAAACTTTGAGATCGGTTAAAGTGGGATGGCAAAGGGATCTGTAATAAGATATTGAGCTTTAGACTGAAAGCAGTAGGTCACCGGCTCAACCATGGCACACATCTGTAGTGACTGAGAGTTATTACCACTTGTCAGCTCCCCTCTGACCTCTGTGAAATGAGGTGCTCGTCTCGGTCCGGCTCCCGGTGGGCAGGCGTCTCCGTTACAAACACTTCCAGCGCCACGGCTGGTTTGTCAGTCACAGCCTTGGCGCAAAGGCTTGTAGTGGCACCATGGTGAATAAACAACATCCTCACCTCCAAAGCTGGTTCTTGCAGGTCAGGGCTGAGGCAGGCTGGCAAATAATTTGAGAAAGCTTGAAACTCCACTGCTAACACGGCGTGGCTCTGGGTAAAGAAAAGATCTCATTTTCCGGAGTTGCACGTTGACAGGTTGCACTTCTGCTGACGTAACTAAACGTGGCCCTAAGGGCTGTTGGGGAATGATCTGGTCCTGTTCTGTTTATGGGCAGCCCCCTTACAAACCGATTCCTCTCTGCTGTCATTTTTCCTCTTACTTGTCTTGTTCTTGATTCTTTTAATACCGTGCTGTCTACCTAGGGGATGTTTCCCACTATGTTTCTCTCAGTTCGTGTTTATGAATAGATTATTTTCCAGATATCTGTTCATGTCCTAAGCTCCTTTTAACTTCAAAATATTCCTCTCCCAGAGGTTTCCTTAGAATAATTATGCATACTGTAGAGAATCAGACAGCCTGCATTCTGAAAATACAACAACGAACTTACAATAGTGACTCATCAGGTTTTTAAAGCAATAATTTTCGTATAACAGAGGTAAGAACTATAAAAATTCTTTCCCTTTGCAAGCATGCAGGTACAAATAAGAGCAACTGTTTATGGAAGTATGATTTAATAAACATATGTTTGTTTTTTCATATAGGTAACCCTCCTGCTACAGGTACAGGAACTTTACACATCACCTTGGAGGATGTCAATGACAACGTCCCATCCCTTTATCCAACACTGGCAAAAGTCTGTGATGATGCAAAAGATCTCAGGGTAGTGGTACTAGGAGCATCAGACAAAGACCTTCACCCCAACACAGACCCATTCAAATTTGAACTGACTAAGCAATCTGGCCCAGAAAAATTGTGGAGAGTCACCAAGCTTAACAGTAAGTCTATTACTTTTTCTTCTTATGCACTTAGTCCTCCCACCTCTACACCCCAGTATACTCACCCTGAGGCTGCCCGTTATGTGAATTCAGGAGCAGTTGGGCATGAAAGTCTCACAGGATGGACCCATTGCCGCTGCTTTACACTGTGCTGGTTTTGCTTGGACCAGCTGCCTGGTGGGACATACTATGGTCTGTCTGCATTTTCTCTGAAATCTGAACTTTTTTCCTTCTCTTACTATGTCAACTGAACTTTTCTCTTTTAGCTTTGCATTAAAGAAAGGCTACTAATGACTTATAGTTTTGTAAAGATTGCCATATTTCATGGCATGGAATTTGTTTACATGAGATGCACAAGGCTTTGCTATAGGACAGCACGAAACTTTTGCATGGGCTTTAGCGACGTACTTGAAAAACTTCCTGATTTTAAGTATTTGAACTCCTCACAAATAAAATACCCAAATGCACTGGGACCACACACTATTGATAAGAGGATCAAAACACATGCTATGCAATTGCAGAAGATTCGTATGGCAAATTGTGGGCACAATGTACTACATCTCTTTTTGATGTAGATTATTTCTATTTGTTTTCTAGCATGTGTTATTTATCTCTGTCACTATCGAATCTTTTAGCAGTTCATTTCATTCTTAGAAAAAACTAAAGATGGATGTGATGTCTGTACCTGCCTGCAGTCATTTCCTTTGCTGTTCTCCAAACATCAAACCACGGCTCTGTTAAACCCCCTAAAAGAGTTGGTGCACTCACCTGGGTACCACTAGCTGTTCTGGCCCACTGTTGCTCAGGTGGAGCAGATCTGTGGATTTGAAGGTGCTTTACTTCCCTCCACTGCCTTCTGAGTCAGCCTGGGGAAGCAGTTAAGCAGCTTTGCCTATGCTTCCTTGCAAGAAGGTTTTTTCCTTTGGCAAATAGATATATTCTTCCCTCTTGTGTTGCTCTGGGGATAACATGCCTTAGCATTTCATTTGTATGTTAGTTTCCACAGGCAGATTCTGCCAATGATTTGCAGACCAAATAATGTATTTAAACAAAAGGGGCTCTTAAAAGTCTTTCTTTTGGTGGGGTTTGGAACAAATTTGCAATTCGCTCTCAGCCCATGGAAGAATTTCTGTACTGCCTCTTCTTACCTCCAATTCAATTCTTTAGTCTTTTCCTTAGAGTGTTCTCATTTTCTTCTTTATTTCCATGAGTAACTGTGGCATGTCTGATATTGTTTGTAAATTCCTCTTCCCTCCCAAACAACAACTATTTGGTTAATTCTCACCTTATCCTTTGCAGATACTCATGCCCAGGTCATCCTGCTTCAAAACCTGAAAAAGGCCAATTACAACATCCCAATCTCAGTGACAGATTCTGGAAAACCACCTCTGACTAACAACACAGAACTGAAATTACAAGTGTGTTCCTGCAAGAAATCCAAAATGGACTGCAGTGCAACTGATGCCCTTCATATCAGCATGACCCTTATCCTTCTTTCACTCTTCAGTTTATTTTGTAAGTCTTTTCCTAAACTGTAAGTAATGAAGTATTATTTAGGTGCTCATTTGTATGCTGCATAAGAAAACCTACCAAGGGAGAAGTTAAATTCATACATTGATATCATAATGCAGTAAGTTTGGGGGTTTTTTCCTGAGGAAGTAGCTATAAGAAAGAGGGAGGGGAGGATTTTTTCGTAGTCAAAAAATAGCAACGAATGCCTGGTTGTCAAATTAAGAAATAGAAGTGATAATTTTAAGAAGAATCAAAGAGAATTAGAGCTAGCATATGATAAACTAAGAAGTACCAGCTGTAGTAGCAGATTTGTGAGACGCTTTCTTTCATCTCTCCCCACTTGAATCCAATTCAAAAACAGAAACTGGAGATTAAAGGTGTTCTTGTAACAATAGCTGTTCTGGGTCACCATGAAAATGAGTACTGTCTGCTTCAATCTATTCCTCTGTATAAAGTGCGCAAGCAGCTGGAACATGAGGAACTTGCTCAGGATTCTGGGCTTCGAGCCACCCGGAATTGATAATCGAATTGCAAGTCTGGGTTGGAGGGTAGAGAGAACTGATATGTAAAGGAAGCTTCTGCTGCTTCTGAGAAAGCTTTCTCAAAGAGACTTACAGAATTCCTAATTTGAAATGGAAGGAGTAAAAAAAAAAAAAAAAAAATCCCAGAATGACTGAAGAGTAGGAATTCAAAGCCATAGAACCCCAACATCTAACCTAGATGTGTCCCTGGCTTGTCCTGTGGCAGCTTCCAGCAACTTTTTTGATGCAGTATTATTTTGAGTTCCTTATCTGTTAAAAAGGAATAGATGTATCCTGTAACTATCATAGTAAATCTGTTAGTCAAGGATTATTACCGTCATCTTATGTTAGTAAAATGCATTGTATGGTGAATTAATACCTGAGCCATCTAGCATGAGGCAGAGATAGAGGTCAAGGCAGAGATAGTTTACACATCTGAGGCTTGGTGTATGCCTGGTCACAAATCTTGCCAGTTTTTTTTCTTATAGTATATTAATTTTATCCCAAAAGGTTAGCATGAAGGTCATTGTGAGAGAATTAGAACTTGCTAATGTTTGTGATGCTCTTTGAAGATGAAAAGGACTATATAAATGCTAAGTGCAAATTCACGTTCTTTGTTCCAATCAGTGACATCTGAAGTATCTCTGTTGGCTCTGGTTCAGTTATTCTGGGTATAGTCTGCTGGAACCAAACATAGACTTCAGCTGTTTGAAGTAATATGTTAAAAATATTTCACAGTACGTGACACTATCACATCAGTGATATAAATATGCAGGGCATTAATTCAAATGTATTCCTGTTACCACTTCATAAATGTTGCTGGTGCTATACTAGGCATGACTTTCACCACTGGAATTACTTTCTTATCTGACATGATTTGCACTTGAACTTTATTTACATTAATGTGTCTGCCCAGAATACAATGAGGTAGAGAAAAGGTTTTTGCTTTTGGAGGTAATCGTGTTGCTTTTTTCTAGCCCCCAAAGAAGTCTGATCATTTTCCTTGAACTGAATTATAAAAAGCAGTTCTAGGTATTGGAAAGCTTTTCTTGAGTTGCCCTTCCCAGCTACAGATCTTCTCCAGCTCAACTGCGGGCAGAATATAGGCGCCTGGCATCTGAATGGGGCGTGGTGCTCTGAATGACAGAGGGATTCCCTCTCCTACTGTAAAAGAATAAGTAGCACTGAGTAGTCTTTACACTGTGAAACAATACAGACAGGCCTAGAGCCATTCTGCAACCTTACATTTGTTCAGAGTACTGTAACAAGTATGAAGAGAGTTGTAATTTTAAACAAAATGTGGAGCAAGATTATGCACATAATCTGCCAGCAGTGTGACGTTCCGGTCTGTTGTCTGAGCAATAAAACCAAAACAAAGGAAAATAGCGGGTGAGTTGAAGGGAAGGGGAAGGAAAGATCTCCCTCCTGGGACAGAGGCTGTTGTATACACAGTTGTTGTGAGTGGGAGCCTGAATTCCACAAACAGACTTCAGCATAGAGAGACCTAATCCTCCACACAGGACCACATTTTTTTTGCTAACATTTGCTACTATTCAGTTGTGTAGTTTGGGTTCACCCCGTCACACAGAGCGAGGGTGGTATTCCATGTCTGGTACAGCTACCTAATCGTGCTTGTGCAAAGCCAGCAAGCGTAACAACGTGCGCAACAATTTTCCTCAGGTGTAAACGACTATATGGAGACAAAAGAATGAGGCCGGGAGCCAGTTAAAATAACATGGTTCTGTATTTGAACGTCTCTAAAATGTGCTGGTATCATTGCATTCCCAATTCATTTTCACATATAGTTTTTTTTATAACTGCGATTAGTTCCATCGCAATGTTTTGTATAGTCCAAATATTTATCAGAGTAATCAAAGATTACGATGCCATAGAAACAAAGAGAACTTTAGTGCTTATTGAACAGATGAAATATCCCATTTCTAGTGGCAAGTTATGGGTTTAATTTTTGCAAAAGCCCTTACGTGGCTCACTTTGCTCCCAGTATTTATGTTTTATGAGGCTCTTGTTCCTAGGAGGTAAATCCTTCAGTCAAATGAACTTTGTTATTCATGCCAAAGTATTTCTTTTTGTATTTGACATCTGGTGTAAGGATAGATAGCCCTGTGAAAGAGCTGTTCATGGTAAAAATGCCCTGCATGAATCTCCTCTCCATACAAAACATCTTGGTATTATCATTTAAATGGTGCAATTATTATCTATACTTAGAATATGTGCCTCCTTTGTAAATCAGGGAAGAAGTCATATGTGGTAGATTTCTGAAGTATCTGAGCATAGAAGTGAAGAGCCTGATTAAAACGGTAATGCATGCAAAAAGCAGCAGTTTCGCCTATTCTGTAGCTGCCCTACTGTGTTCAGTATATTGAGGGATAATGACATACAGACTGCAGAGTTGCCCAGAAGCCCTTTGAAAGGTAGATATACTTGGAACAAGAAAAATGTAGGAGCTCTTGTCAGCCAGAAATAGGAAATATAAGATGCCAAAATATACGGGGCAGATTGCTGGTTTTCCACAACAAAACAGTAAGGTGTTTGGTGGAATTAAAAGATGGTGAATACAGAGTTGATTGAAAAAAAGGAACATCTTTGCATATTTTGTACTTAACCTAACTTATTACCACTGGGAATTGCTGAAGTCAAGCTGGAAAGATGTGCAGTGGACCCGCAGAGGACTTTTCAAAGTTATAATAGTTAATGTTAACAAATATTGGAAAGAATATTAAATCTTATCTGTCATTAACGCAGACAGTGTGTTTAAGATGAGACCTAGTGTAGTGGCATCTTGTCCTCTGTCAGCTTTTCCTAGCCACTACTGGAGACAAGATAGGACCAAAATATTCAGCTATAATTTAGAGTTTAGTAATTCAGATTGAGGAAAAAGAACAGATCAAAAAATAGATCTGGGTTCATAGTCAGGGAGGACTACCTGAGGAAGAGAAAAAGTGGGAGAAAGAAAGCGTGTTATGCAGCATGTCTGGTGCTGGGTCTGAGATTGTCCATGTTGTCCCTCACTGCTGTATCGTCTCAGTCGTCTCATGTTTTCAACTGACACAGCTCAACTAGCTCTGTTCAGAATGAATGTAACCAAAGTGATGCACTAGAATCAACAACACTAGAATTATAAACAAGTTCCCCCGGAAGGCTCCTGAACATTTTTAGTATGAGAGTATCTACAACATTCCATAAGGATGAAGGATGGAGAGAGAGGGGAAAAAAATAAGCCCCTTATTGCAAGCTACAAATTGGTAGCTGATATTTCATTTAAGTTGAACAATACCTAAGAAGGGGAGAACAGCTGTCCTTGAAAATTTTGCTGAAGTATCATCAATTTCACAACAAATCATTGTAAATGTATGTTTAACAAACATTTAACAGCAATTTCTTCTGAAGATATATTGAGGTCGGTAAAGCTGGCTTTTGTCCACTGGCAATGACATGGCAGAGTAAGTTTCCATGAGGAACTGGATCAGAACAAGCCAAATCAAAAGCATGTATCAAAGAACTTTTGGGACTTAAGTGACATACTGGTGACTGAGAAAACAAAACAAGCTAAAAAAGATCAAGATAAAACCAAATTTGTGTATATTGTCATAATGAACTCAACAACAAAAACTGCCCCAGGCCCTATGGGAGACTGAGAAAGAACTACTCTAGCTGGCAGAACTAGTCTTTATATCAGTTATGAATTATTTATATTAATTATTATTGTTTAAAGGAGTATTTGAATTCTGGACTTTTGATTTGGCAATAATTATTTCACTTAATTACATAATCATAGAATGATAATTGCATTTCATATTTCCTTTCATATTCTACCAACATAAAAGACCAAGTTCGATTCAAATGTGTTGAATTAAGGGACTAACATAAGAACCAAAGGCGCAATAGTCATGTCCTGAGCGAGCAGGATTCAGAGCAATTCCATTAGTAGGTCAGTCACACTAGCAATAATATTTACTTAAATGTCCTTGTTAGAAAATGACTGGACTTTAAACACTTCATCTTTGAAAAAAAAAATAGGTATCTTAGTTGACTGCCAACCATTGATAAGAAACTTTTTTTTGTTAACCTAGCCAGTGGACTACAAAGTTCTAAGTTGACTTGAGTTTAAATAAGTAAAGTATTCCATTAGTATGAACAGAAAGTAAGGCGAGAGACTGGTGGGGAAATACTGCTGTGAAGAAATTAAATAAGCTGGAGGTCTCTACATTGAAATTAATTTGTTAAACTGAGGGTGAAAGGCCTCAGGTGTGTTGAAAAACAGAGACTCGCACAGATGTCTGTACTGCGATTGCAAAGAAGCCTTAGAGATACCCTTGAATTTAACTTCCTATTAATTTCCACTAACTCTTTCTGTTTTAATGCCTGCTGTCCCCCACCGTAATGTTTTTCTGATTTAAGGAATGCAGCTACAGGCGCAATAGACAAAATCTCTTTTTTTTTTTTTTCCTTCCTTGAAAATTA